GTCCCCGTAGGGAGCCATACGGTCGCGGCAGCGTGGCTCTGCCCCCCAGCCTGCCCCCCCGGCACCTTCGGGCTCCGGTGTGAGCAGCTCTGCCGCTGCGCCCACAACGCCAGCTGCCACCCCGCCAGCGGGACGTGCCCCTGCGCCCCGGGCAGGATCGGGCCCCACTGCGAGGCCGGTGAGTGGGTGCGGAGCGGGGTGGGGGGGCCCGCCGGGGTCCCTGCCCCACCCTAAGGACTGTCCCCCCCACAGGGACCCCCGAGCAGCCCTACACCATCGTGCCGGCCCCCCCGGCAGCCTACAGCTCCCTGGGGGTGGTGCTCAGCCTGGTGGCCCTGGTGGCGCTGCTGGTGGCCGTGGTGGCCGTGGCCCTGTGCTACCGGCACCGGCAGAAGGAAAAGGAGAGCCGGCACCTGGCCGTGGCCTACACGGCGGGACAGACGGACACCTCCGACTACGTGGTGCCAGGTGAGCACGGCGGCGGGGACGCGGCCGCAGCCCCGGTGGCCCCGCTGCGCCGGGCTGACGCCTGTCCCCCAGATGTGCCACCGAGCCACCACGCGCACTACTACTCCAACCCCAGCTACCACACGCTGTCCCAGTGCACGCTGCCGGCCCCCGGCCCCGGCCCCCAGGACAGAGCCAGCTCCCTCAAGGTACGGCACGGCACGGCACGGCACGGCGCGGTGCAGCGTGGCATGGTGCAGCACGATGCAGCGTGGCGTGGTGTGGCGTAATGCACAGTGCACCAGGGTGTTGCATGGTGCACTGTGGTGCAGCGTGGTGTTGCATGGTGCAGCGTGGTGTTGCACGGTGCACCGCAGTGTTGCACAGCGCACCGCGGTATTGCATGCCGTACCACGGTGCAGCGCGGTGTTGCGCAGTGCGGCACGGCACGGCGCTGCTGCCGGGAGCCTCGTGGCCAGCCCATCCCGTTTGGGCTCCAGGTGCCCGGCACCCAGCTCTTCCCCGGCGTGGAGAGACCCTACGGCGCCGAAGGCAACGCCACGCTGCCGCCCGACTGGAAGCACCTCGGGGCCCCGGGCCCCAGGGGTAAGGGGGGACGCGGGGGCAGCTCCCGGGGAGCCAGCGCGGACCTAGGCCGGAGCGGGGCGGACACCGGGGCCCCCTCCCAGCTCAGGATCCACCGGGAGGGTGCTGGGGTGGGCGGGGTGGCACGGGGGGACCCCAAATCTGCTCCCTTCCAGGGGGGCAGCTGGACCGGAGCTACAGCTACAGCTACAGCCCGGGGACGTACAGCGGGAAAGGTACGGGATGGGGTGGGGAAGGGATGGAGATGGGACAGGGCTGGAATGGGGTGGGGATGGGATGGGATTGGGATGGGATGGGGATGGGACTGGGATGGGGTGGGGAAGGGATGGAGATGGGACAGGGCTGGAATGGGGTGGGGATGGGATGGGATTGGGATGGGATGGGGATGGGACTGGGATGGGGTGGGGAAGGGATGGAGATGGGACAGGGCTGGAATGGGGTGGGGATGGGATGGGATTGGGATGGGATGGGGATGGGACTGGGATGGGGTGGGGAAGGGATGGAGATGGGACAGGGCTGGAATGGGGTGGGGATGGGATGGGATTGGGATGGGATGGGGATGGGACTGGGATGGGGTGGGGAAGGGATGGAGATGGGACAGGGCTGGAATGGGGTGGGGATGGGATGGGATTGGGATGGGATGGGGATGGGACTGGGATGGGGTGGGGAAGGGATGGAGATGGGACAGGGCTGGAATGGGGTGGGGATGGGATGGGATTGGGATGGGATGGGGATGGGACTGGGATGGGGTGGGGAAGGGATGGAGATGGGACAGGGCTGGAATGGGGTGGGGATGGGATGGGATTGGGATGGGATGGGGATGGGACTGGGATGGGGTGGGGAAGGGATGGAGATGGGACAGGGCTGGAATGGGGTGGGGATGGGATGGGATTGGGATGGGATGGGGATGGGACTGGGATGGGGTGGGGAAGGGATGGAGATGGGACAGGGCTGGAATGGGGTGGGGATGGGATGGGATTGGGATGGGATGGGGATGGGACTGGGATGGGGTGGGGAAGGGATGGAGATGGGACAGGGCTGGAATGGGGTGGGGATGGGATGGGATTGGGATGGGATGGGGATGGGACTGGGATGGGGTGGGGAAGGGATGGAGATGGGACAGGGCTGGAATGGGGTGGGGATGGGATGGGATTGGGATGGGATGGGGATGGGACTGGGATGGGGTGGGGAAGGGATGGAGATGGGACAGGGCTGGAATGGGGTGGGGATGGGATGGGATTGGGATGGGATGGGGATGGGACTGGGATGGGGTGGGGAAGGGATGGAGATGGGACAGGGCTGGAATGGGGTGGGGATGGGATGGGATTGGGATGGGATGGGGATGGGACTGGGATGGGGTGGGGAAGGGATGGAGATGGGACAGGGCTGGAATGGGGTGGGGATGGGATGGGATTGGGATGGGATGGGGATGGGACTGGGATGGGGTGGGGAAGGGATGGAGATGGGACAGGGCTGGGGCCGGCGTGGGGGGGACCGGGGATGAGGTCGGGGGGGCCCAGTAATGGGCTCAGTTGTGACCCTGGGATGGTCCCAATAAAGGCCCAGTAATGGGAGAAGAAATGGACCAGTAAAGGCTTAGTGATGGGCCCAGTAACGGTCCAATGACGGCCCCAGTAAAGGCTCAGTGATGGGCCCAGTAAGAGCCCAGTAATGGGCTCAGTTATGACCCAGTGATGGTCCCGGTGATGGTCCCAATAAAGGCCTGGTAATGGGACAAGAAATGGACCAGTAAAGGCCCAGTGATGGCCCCAGTAAAGATCCAGTAATGGTCTAATGATGGCCCCAGTGAAGGCTCAGTAATGGGCCCAGTAACGGTCCAATGATGGCCCCAGTAATGGTCCAGTGATGGCCCCAGTAAGGGCCCAGTGAAGGCCCAGCGCTGGTCCCAGTAAGGGCTCAGTTACAGCCCAGTACTCCCAGTGCCGCTGCCCAGTGCCCGGCGTCCCCAGCCGCGGGTGGCCGTGCTGCCGGCCACGCCCCTTTCCGCGCCGGCCACGCCCCTTCCGCGAAGACCCCGCCCCTGCCCGCCTCGTCCCCTCCCCTTTCCACGCAGAACCCGC